CTGATAGAGAGAAGAAGGAATGAAAAAGATGAAAGAGTATACTTAAGTTAATACTAGGAGAATCATAAAGCAACGCGCACGCTACGGACTTTTAGTTCTAAAAAAAAAGCAAGATATCAGTTTCTGCCTTTGAAAAGTATATAGTACATCGTAAAGAAAAACAAACAGCTTCTCTAGAGACTTTCAAGTAGAACCTACACGGTGGTTTTGGTGGTTCATCACACCGAAAAACAATATCGCATAAATCCTTATAAATTTTAAATTTAAACATCTAAACGGTATCGGTAGTTTACCAAAGTTATGTTTATCGTTTCATGATGTTTCCAGCAACCACGAGGTAAAACGTGTACAATTATAATCCGATAATGAGAAATTATGTTTATTAAGAAAGAAAAAAAACGCTACAAAATTGAATGATGTTGCAGGCAGTAAAAGTATATGACAATGTGAAAAGATCCTTGTTGAGTGAATGGTACCAAACACATCTGTTAGCTCTCGCAACGGACAGGTCAAAGTGCGTATGTCACGAGTTTTTATAAAGTTATTTTCAAAATTTAATTGAACTACTTTATTATCATGGTATACGTATAAGTTTGGCATAAAAAAACGTAGTTAGTAAATAAAATTTTCGTATTATATAAATGTTAAGTTCTTAACTTTAAATGGCAACATTTAAAAAAATCCTCAGCCACCCCCCCCCCCCTAGTAGAAGAATTGTGAAATTTACTCTCTATGTCTTCCCTCTTCTCTAATTTATTTACTACGCCTCTGACAAGTACGGAATTTAAAGTAAATCACTCATTATAATATAGTTATTAACCAGTCAACGCATATTTTTATAACCTTCAATGTTATTTGTTTACGGAACCATAAACTAGAAAGTCAGATCCACTTGCCACGCCCAACTGTCACATCATCTCTTTCACAAATTGCCAATAGTTCTCTCTAACGTTTAATACTATATTATTTACAACAAATAGAAAGGCAAAGTTTTAATCTAACATTAAGGTACAGTGCTGAAAGATGTTTTAATGGAAATTCAAAAGTTCCAAGGAAGTACGGACCGTAAAGTAATAATTTTTGATACAAGAATGGTGCAAATAATGTTTAGGGGATAACAGAAAGAAAACTTGTTTAATGAGAAAATAATAAGAAAATATTATTACTAGAGAAATAAAATCACTAAAAACAGAAGTTTGGTTGGAAACCTTGAAGATATGTTTTCTGGGAAAATAGAACAATATACGTTAAGACATTTATAAGAAGAAGACAACATAAGAAAAGTTTTGAGAGTAAAACTGATACATTAAGAAGAGACGTATGCTGAGAAAGAATTAAGATGCGTTTTTCTGGAGTAAGAGAATAATGAGGAGAGAAAAACAAGACAAGATGGTGAGATAATTACTACAGCAATGATGTTTACTGAAGTAACAGAACAATATGTTTACTATAGTTAAAATTGAGAAGAAACATTTGTTGGAACAACAGGAGAACAGAGAAGTAAATTTACTGATGAGATAATAGGTCAAAACAATGATATAGCTCTTTGAATAATAAGAATACATTGGACGTGGTGAAACGTCAAAGAAAACTGTTGCAAGCTCTAATAACGTAACTTCGAGTTTTTGGCTCGCTGGCAATACAGTGAGGCACGCAAAACAGGGTTAATACGCAATCGATAACCTGAAATGAGAATGCCAAAATATAGTGTTTAAGTATGTTACCCGTTCTTCTATAATATGTATCATTACGTCTAAAAAATACTTGTCTTGCATGATTAAGGCTTTCTAGACTGTTAGAAAATATGTTGGTAATTTAGAAAACAGAGGTTTACTGAAAAAAATTGTCCAACAAGAGATAAGATGTCTGGATCACTACAGAAAATAAAACGATTGACTAGAGATATGTTTTCACGTTTATCTTGATAAACACATCACCTATTTCATATCAGAGAAGTCTATATTTAATGTTTATTTTTATTTTTTGTCTAAAAGCGTTTCATTCAATACCATAAATCATCATGTTTATTGATGCATGAAAATCAAATATGTAAGCTGAAACAAGAAAAACAACAAAGCAATTTGTTAAACCAATGACAACAAAAACTTGAGAGACATGTATTTCTTGAATCTATCAACAAAAAGAAACACTTGTTATAACATTTAAACAAACATTAATTATCAGAAACATAAGCAAGAGGTTGTAAAGAACATTTGTTTATTTATTTTTATCTTTTATAATTACGAAATCGCAAGAATTTACTTCAGACGAAAACAACAGGATATTGCGTTACCGATCAACGAGCTGTTTAATACGTATTTATAATCAATGCGGATGCGGAAATCTGTACAGAATGGTCAATATTTTATACAAAGCTGTATTAATGTGTGATGATCCTTATCTAAGAATTCTGAGTATAGCCGCAAGCCCTTTCATCAGGACTAACCAGATTGCTTCGTGTTTATGAGTCATAAAATGAAAAAGCCAGGAAGTTGTAATATGAAAACATACAGGTTCACATAAGATAGTATAACTCATACCATGCCCAGTTGATTGCTAAATTGAGCTAGAAAGCTGAATAGCCTCAAACTCTGTTTCGGAATGAAAGAGTATAAACGCACGCGCATGTGTGATATATATTTACTGGAATCTATATCAATCCAGGAAGTTATTATAGCTTGACACACTTTGGTAAAGTGGCTATTTCCTCTACCTATTTTGCACGATTGTTTCTTTAAGCAAAACATTTATTTTGAAAAGATTTTTAAGTGCTGACATCACCCACACCCCATCATTACAACGGTTGGTTTAAAAATTACTAATATTCGATAAAACACTTGCGGCAAAGAACACATTTCATGGTGCAATAAATATTTATTAACTGAACTAATTATATTCGTCTCGGCGTGTGTGCGTTCTTGGTGTATTGACAACAACCGAGCCACACTGACGGTATTAATTAACCAGATGAATGTCTTCGGGGCCTAAAGCTGGTTACTGACAACAACCGAGCCACACTGACGGTATTAATTAACCAGATGAATGTCTTCAGGGCCTAAAGCTGGTTACTGACAACACTAAAAGGAAACTTCGACTATTCTCGGCCGAAGTGTCTGCACATACCTACATATATGTATTTACGAATAACTGGTTGAAATTAATATTTTGTGGAGAACATGCCAAGACATGCCTCATTTCATTATTGTTGGTTTAAACCAGTCACGAGTTTTGGCTCAGTATATTCAGGAGTGTTGACGTTGTAATTGGAATCCTGTCGCATGTTATAAAGAGCACATGGTGGGTATTTCTCAAGATATGTGAAATTGCATGAAACTAATTTTCTGTTAATCTCGATAACATTAACTTTTATTGCATCATTTCCAGGTGAAATCCATGTTGTTACCAGTTAGAAAGTGATACCGGTATAGTTGATTAATAAAAACATTCACTTATGACAAATAGAGAACATCATGACATTTTGTATAATCGAACCTATGAATGAATAGACTTTAATTATATTGTTTAGTGTAATGACAACAATTAGAAATAACAACGTACTTTTTGGGCTATTGAACCTTTTTAATTTTGCTGTTTCTAAGTCTGCTATGAAGCAATGCTGTTTCTCATAAGTTGCCAAAAGTCGCAAAACATTCAGACGGATGGATGTTCACACTTTAGAATTTTGCAAGTTCATCCAGTCATTTCCTATGTTGTAACATGTTCAACATTATATATATACCATCTTGCAATTTTTTACTTCGACTTAATTGATCTAAGACAGGTTAAAAAACAAGACGACAATTTTTCATCAATAACTAAATATCTGTTGCACTAATATCACTAATTTAAAACATAAACAACTTGTTTATTGCTTCATTTTATGAGGGGAGGGAGGAGGATACATTTTATTTTTACTCTGATCAGTGTTTGTCAATACAAATTCTGTCGTTGTGATGATTTTTCCTACCTTAAAGATCATGCTTCACATAGGCATTATTTGCCAGTTTCTCTGGGACAAAAATTATATCGAGTCAGAAACGTGTAAGGTGAAGAACTATGTTGAGCAAACTGAGTATTGTTTGCTTGTTTGAAGTTAAACACAAAGCTACACAATGGGCTATCTGTGCTCTGCCCACCACGGGTATCGAAACCCGGATTCTAGCGTTGTAAGTCCGCAGGCATACCGCTGTGAACTGTGGGGGGGGGGGCGAACTAAGCAGTTATGTAGCTCAACATGGTAAAGTATTGTGGAAACATGCTGGATTTAACGTAAACAATTTACTTATTTGTCCCCCAGTGGGACAACGGGAAGTTTAAGAACTCGCTACGCTAAATTCCGCGGTTCGATGCCTCGCTGAGGACACAGCAGATAGCCCAATGTAGGTTTGCTCTAAAACCAAACAAACTTGCTAACTTAACTTTATAAAAAAATTAAACAATACACGAAAAAGAAACAAAAAACCTTATCTTGGAAGACAATTTTATAACTACTGTATCCGTGAGTGGCAGTTTGTAAACATTGGTTGTATATTAGCACAGATAATTATGTCCGCGGAACATAGTTTTGAAACCACACTGCTCGCATAAGACAGTTTACATCTACTGGTGGATGAAGTTTATAGTTTACCTCAGTTTTACAAGAATTATATCTATGGAACGCAGCTTTGCAAGGAATGTGATCAATACAAACAACTTTACGTATGTTGTATTGAATGTATCCTGTATTCTATCTTCAGTACAACTGTAAAGTTCAACAAAAGCGCAAACTACAAGCGTGAAATAAATTATCACTTTTATTCTCTTCTTTAAGTATTGTGGAGCATACTTATATTGCTGTATGTGAATGAGATGTATTAATTCCTTTGAATTATAGCACATTCTATATCAGTATTCTGAAGAAAAATAGACATATTTATATCAAAACATATCGAATTAAATTAACATTTTTCTTTACACTTATGTGGGAAAATCTGAACTAACACAAAGCTTGCAAAACTCACCTAACGTTCTCATATTGTTGAATATATATCTTATGAAATTGTCCCTCTCTTGGCGAAATAATGTCTTCCTTCATCTCCATGGCAACGTGTTGTGGTAAAACACTTAAAAGCAACCGTTCCTGGAAATGTTTATTTCATATTCAATTTACTTTTTTTAAAAAAAGGAAGACTATTACCAATTAAGCTATATTTATATATAATTGCCTGTTTTTAACTTGCTTTTCTCCATAAATAAAAAACAACAGAAAACAATTTTACAGTCAATGTTATCTTGAATAACTCCCGTGTTTTCTACGTTTTCACAGCTCTCTTTTTCTTAATAACATCAAATGGACATTTAATTATATACACTGTAACGAATTTGTTGTTATGTATTTATTTTAATATCAACGTTGTTTACATTAAGTTTATATTTAGAAGCATGCATAGCCTATACTGTTAGATATGTATTGAGAAGCTCCCGCCTATTCTCCAAAGTTGTAGAAGATCCTCTATAGTAAGAATCAACAATATATCTATATTCGTAAACGTTTAAATATAACTCAAAATTGTTATGTAATCTGAATTTTCTAGAAAACCCTCCCACGCCTATAAATAAAACCAACGCGCCGCTCCTAAAAGAGAGTATCTATTAGTAGTTCGCTATAATCAGAGTGCTATAAACTTCGAAAGCTATAACTGTGATTTATAGAACGCTTATCAATCGAAAAACTTAAGTTATTTGAGCTGGAATATTTATAAATTTCGAACATTACAAATTCTTTAACTTCAGCGGATTCTCATTGGACATTAGTATTTTTACGAAAACATTACCAACTTTAGCGGTGGAAAATAGCGCTTGTGGCCAAGGACAAAGCTAGCCAGCTTCCCGGTGAATGAAATTAACTCGCTCATCGTGAACCCCCGATAAGATATCAAGAGAGTTCCAAACTATAAAGAAGATTTTATATTGTTTGTAAGTTTGTGAAACTTTTGTTAATAAATTTTTGTTTGTAGTAACTATTTGTATTAATTGTTATTGTTGTGTTTGTATTAAAACGTATTTGTGTTAAAAACGAAAACGGTGTGTATCAATCTTGTTGGCAAATATCATAAACTGACTATGTATCGGCTTTAATTTAAATACTAAATCCAAAATACAAATTAACTACTAAATTTAAATTATCAGTTAACTCGGCTTCGGACTATTTGAAAGTCTAATATGTAACAACACCCACATACATCGATACGTTAGATTTTTCAAAATCGGTTTCAATACCCATCATCATCCGATTTTTAAACCATAAATATATATTTCGAGTTATTCACTAACCAGTTTTTCATTCTCATCTTCCATCTCCAGACGGGCATTAATACAGTTGCGAGTGTCGAGAAAAGCCTTCCTCTGCGCATGCTCCATTAAGCTGTGTACAAAAAGGCCTACCATATTAACGCAAAGAAAAGTTACTCCATTCGCAACCATCTGTGAAAGGAAAAAAAAAGAGAGAGCATAAACAAAACGAAACACTGCACTAAAAACCAAAAACTCATTTGTAATAAACCATAGCAACTTTGAGCTCAAAAACAGAACAAACATATCTAACATTTTTATTGATTTTTTTCTAATATGACAAGTAAGGCATTATTTAATTATTCATGAATAAATTGATATGATAGTGCACGAGGCAGATTTACCTTATATAACTCCGTAACATCTCGAAAAGTAAATAAACAATTACAACATAATTCAGCACAAACTTTCACAATAATAATAATAAAACATTCAAAATATATGTCAGATTATCCCAAAAGTATAATAAATAAATAAATATAAATAAAGAACAATAACTATAGCAGTTCTTTACATAAATAATGAATAAAGTTGTGTACGCTGGCTTTCTGACGCCATAATTATGTGATTAATCAATTATTTATAATAAGAAGACGTTTGTTTCAATTCGAAGTTCAAAATATACACAATATCCTACTAAATAACAGATAAGTAGGCCTTGAAGAGTTTATATAGTCGAATCCTTATAAAACAAACAAAAAAAAACGATTAAGTATTGTGCATAAGTTTTTGGTCTTCACAAGATACGGATGAGTTAGATTATTTAAAGTTTGAGGTAAATTTTATGTCCATTACGTCACTAGGACATAATTTTGGATTATTAGTTACAACAAATGATGGCTTCGGTTTATTTTTCTGTAGCAATTGGGAAAAAGTGACATTAATCGGAATACGCTATTCATTATAATTCACGACGTTAACAAGCAATTTATAAAAAAAAAGTCACACTTCTCTTTAACCGCACAGTGAAGAGAAACTTTATTGTAGAGTCCAGAAACACATAACATTCTCATGAAATATTCACTGAATAAGACCTGAAGATTTGCGCTGCCCGGTTTGTTTCTTTCATAATTTTCACACATGGATATTCATATGGTTAAATGCGCATAGCCGTCCCTAATTTTAAACTTATAGACTAAAGGGAAGGCAGATAGTCAATAGCACCCACCGCCAACTCTTGGGTTTCTCGTGTCTGACAGAATAGTGGAAGTTGATTCTTACTCCTATAGTGCACTCACGGCCATAAAGTGTGGAGCGTGTTTGTTTGTAGCAAGGGGTTGTGAACCATGTGAAACATTAATCCTCAGGTTTCACAGTCCAGGTACATTAAACTTTAGACCACGCCAGGCCCTGACTAATGGGCTTTCAGCCACATTATTTGGAACAGCGTCGCAAAACTTGGTTTTAACTGATCGCTACATTACAGTTTTAAAGTGGTTGAAATGGAAAGAAACACTTTAAACGAACTAATTAAAATCAGATAGTTTCGAAACTTTCAGACCCCATAATTTCAAATTTAAAAGTTATGACCAACACTGAACCTAAGAAAAATTATACAAGCTGTAAGTTACACTGCGATTAAAAACTAGCTTTTACATATCGTTTGATCATTTATTTATTTTTTGTAAAATTCAATGAATGCACAAACTACACACGTGAAAGAAATTAATACTTTTATTCTCTTCTTTAGTTATTGTGGAGTATACTTGCATTTCTGGGGTGAATGAGATATTTTAATTCCTTTACATTTTATATCAGTGTTCCGGAGAAAAATCAGGAGAAGAACAAAATCTATAACAATACATTATATAAGTGAACAAAGGTGTTTACGCTGATCTTCTGTCATCATATTTATGTGGTTAATTAATTATTTATAATAATACGAGATCATTTCAGTTCGAAATGGAAGTTTGATAAAATATACACAAAATACTACTAATTAAAAAATTAAATTAAATTAAAAAATCGTACCCCGCTCTTTGAGGTTGTTGGTGCATTATAAGACAGACAGTCAAATCGTAGTATTCGGTCTGACAAGAGCAACCCAAGAGTTGGCAGTGGGTGGTGTTGACTGTTGATCTTCCCTCTCGTCTTATCACTTCAAACTTAGGGACGGCTAGTGCAAATAATTCTCGTGTGGTTTTGGCGAAATACAACTAACAAACATTTTTTTCTTCTAAAATTTGGCACTGCTACAAGGATTAACGTAAGTAGGCGTTATAACATAATTTTCTAAGATTGAAATTATGGAATAGGTTTCACTCGTTAACTCTGCACATCTATAGTGATATTACTTTTTCATATCCTAAGGAAAAATAAACAGTTTCCTATATGTCGATCGCTTTTTTTTAATCTCCTTTTGTGGAACCTCATAACAATGATCACGAAGCGCCATTTCATCAAATAAATGTACTAACATTGAGTGAATGCTCGATTCTATTAAATATACACATAAAAGAAAGTTAATCAAGATTCGAGTCTATAATATGTCTTACACTTATTAAGCTAGGGGGAAAAGCGTCCCTCTCGTGACTTTTTGGTGAGCTCTAGGGCCTATAACGCTCATATTATGGTTCGATCCCATTAGAGGGCATAGTGTAGAGAGCCTATTGCGCAACTTTGTGCATAAAACAAAACAAACAGAAAAAAGGGGCAAGGTTTAGTTTTACAATACAAATTTTTCTAAAAATGTGCGATTCAAACTTAAGTCTTGTTTATTATCTCATACAACAGTGCAAGTAGTACAGTTCTTCACAGCCAAAAATAATATAATACACATATATATATATATACATTAAGCTTCAGCAGTGTGCACTCTTTTTGCCTGTTTTGTCCTCAATTTACTGAGATGCTTTAATTATGTACGACTGTGCCAACAATGTCACGTACCTTTTTAAAGACTTGATGAATGAAACTTCTCTCGTGTTCAGCTGTTAAAAGCATTACGACAAAAGGACAAATGTATAATGTAACGAATAAATTAAAAGCCTAGGAACTAAGATTAAGTTCCTTAGACTTTGATGGAAATTACGTATCGCAAGACTAGACGACATATTTCAAATTTGCACAATTAGAGAAAAACTATCTATGTATGTGTAATGAAGTGTTCAAAGCCTACTTTTTAATTCGATTGAAAATATTGTTGTCAGTACTTCATACTGCAAATTGATTTGACTTGTAATAGAAGCTTATGTAAATACATATATATATATATATATATA